AGATATAACAGTGAACTTTTACTCCACAGGAGACACGCACACACAGACAAAAACACAGCCATTGTTATTCTGAACTTCTGCTACCTGTGCATATAAAAACTTTACTGCTGATTTCTTTGTTGAAGTAACTTCTGCTTGCTACTGGCTTACTGCATAAACTTTTTTTTTTCTTTATTCAAAAGTCCTTTGTCAGTTTAGCTCCTGCTACTTTTTCAGAATGTATGATCTCCTCAGCAGGGACTACTTTGTCTCCTGAACTCCTCTTACCTGTCTGTAGTAACTACAATCACCTACAATCCTGCTATTCACTTAACTTGCATCAACTTTTTGTGAGGCTTTAAGTTTAAAAAAAAATTCACAATAGCCTTTCTTTGACGGGAATTGATCAATGGGCCAGCAAGACATTTCTGAAAGTTGTCACCCTTTTAATTATTTTGTAAAAAGATCTAAGTACACATCTTAAAACTCCAAACTTAACAACCAAATCTTTAGTACTGTTCATGCACATACTAACATTAAGTCAAATGTTTTCAAGTTTATAATGAGTTATAAAAATATATCTCAAAGGAGGAGTCACCATCAAATTTCTCCTCACCTAGCTGTGAGAGGATGTTCAAATCTTCCACAGTCACAAGTCTTCTCAGAACGTCGTGCATTTCGTGGCCAGTCCACCAAGCCTGCTACTACCACCAACAACAATATCAATACTAAACAACAACTGGGCCACAATGTTCCTCTGTCTACAACTAGTGGTTGTAGTCTTTATCTGGGAAAAAAATCAGTGATGGCCTTGTCTCTGACAGCCCACAGATAGTGCTTGGCTCTGTTTCTATTAAGTCATTATCTCTTTAAATAACTCTTGTCCAGAAAAGGGATAGCTTTAACTTTCTAGAATAAGCTCTATGTAGATAAATGGTCCTGGCTAAAATTGCTGAATGCCATAACCCCCTAAAAAACTACCTACACCAAGAGATACTGAATTGTTACAGATATTAATGTGACAACAACTTCATCCCCCCCCCTCCCCCCACATACCTACATAAGGCCAACCAGGTCTTACAATGATAACACAGGTAGCCTTAATCTCCTCTTAATACCAGCTATTGCAGAGAGACAGGACTTAATACCTGGGTTCTAATACCCCCTAATAATGGCTATTAAACTGTACAAGTAGTCAGTGGTCACACCCCTGTACCATAGAGCTCCGGTCACCACTGGTCACTCATGGTCATCATCGGATCATGTCTGGATGGCAACCACCCAGATTAAAGTTTGTATAATGACAGGAATATGTGTATCACATAAGTATCTGGAGAATTACACCCACATCAAAGTTAATTTAATTTAATATGCCAATTTAGACATTAGTACAGCATACAGATGTATGTAAAGTAATTTAATTATCTTGTAAGTAACTGACTTCACATATTTCATTTTCTTTTAGCCCCTTCAGGTAAGTCTTACACAAGATATATTCATATCAATTTAAATTAGTTGTCAACTAAATTCCTTATAAACTCCAAATTTTTTTTCTGCAATTAAATATTTTACTGCCATATTTTGAATGATTTCCCATAAAACCACTGCTTACTGAATTTTACATGCATTCTACTTCTTGTCCAAAGTTAACATATCAATCTCTTTAATTGTAGCAAATTGCATTGACGTCAATTTCATTAAGAAAAATTTGACAATCTATAGGATCACTTACAATAACTACATTCTTCTGACAGCTATACAAAAACTTATATTATACACAGTCACTTTGATAAACTACATCTATCAACCCGATACAAATACAACACATAATCATCTAAAAGTGTGTTGAACTTGTCATCTGACACGCTCCGGATTGGCTGCTTAGTTGCACCTGCTGTCACCCCCTTCAAACGCTAAGCTCACCCCCCAAGTTTCACCTGTCTTTGTCCAATATCAAAGAGACGTCTGCCATTTCTCCATGCATTGTCACATATGTGACATATGTCAGTGTCAAGCTGTTTTATTCTCTTTTTTCGACTGTCTAAATGGTGTCAAATGTCACATCAACCAGATGAGGAACCAGACTGAAGAAATAATGCATCTCTTTCTTGTCCTTATGGACATATTCTAGTTACAAGACTAGAAGATCTATTATGACAAAACAGAGCTTGCTTTGTGTATTCCTCTACCTCAGAACAATATACCTAATATTCAAATAAACTTATAAGCAAATGATGAGTCCAGAAAATGTCCATTTTATTTAAAAAAAAAAACCGATTATAAAGAATTGTTTGAGACAAGCCTCTGCAGCTATCCTGGGCCATCTCCACTTCACTGATGTTGTTGAATGTTTTAATTACCATTAAAAAATCAATAAAAAAAAAAAAAAAACAATGAATAATTTACTTTCTTCTACATACTACAGTGCCACCTTGCTCTAATGAGCTCAATCCGGTTGATTCTTAATTTCCAGGGAATAATTCTATAATCATAATTTCCCTTCTAGCAATTCAAATATCTATCTCTTGGAGTATTAAACAGCTGAAGTGTCAACTTAATCACATGCTCTCCATCATCCTGAGCATTTATCTCCTCAAATATCCCTTTATATCTTCCAAATTTAGAACTATTTTACTTAAACTGCCAGACACAATTTCAATGAGGGAGTAAAACTGCCTCCCACTTCTCCTGTAAAGCAATTACTCTGTTGCTCAATATTGTTAGTAAATTTTCTGGCTCTTAACTGAAAATTATCCAGTCCTCCCTCTCAAACAGCTATTTAAAGAAGTATAATTCCCTGAAGTCTTCTTGGTAATGAGATAGTAAAGCCTGGTATTACATTAACTTCAGCTTCCATTACTGCTGTTTGTTCCACTGGTATCACTACTGGTCTCCTAAGTAATGTTCATAGACACTATTATCTGCTTACTGTCTGAGATCTAAATGATCATCTATTTTAACAAACTGAATATCTAGTGTTCAGCAAATTTCATACCAGCTAGTTCCATTAATATCAACTTAAGTGGCTTGAATTTCCTGAGGGTATTATAATCTATATTTATATCCCATGATATTTATTATAATCTCTATGCTTATGCTCTACCCTTAGATACAATACATTAACTATTTGGACTAAACTGTCACATTCTGCCAATTTTTTCACTTGTTATTGCATCAATATTTGATAATTTGGATAAGTGTTTCCATGCAGTAACCATTATCAGTTAATACAACATGACATATCAACATCAATTTGGATCACCCTTTTCTACTTCATTCAATTCAGTTGGTCTTCAGTTCACATCAAAAACAGTACATTCACATAGACTGAAACTGTCAGCAACTGTTATCATACGAGTTTCACCAATATTTCAATCCTCTGTAAAGAGGTTTTTAATGCCTTTTGCTTTGCACTTTCACCTGTGTAAAACCTGATAATGAGCAACATGTAATATTTCCTACCGAAAATTAAATATTTATATCAGTTTAAAAAATACACATGCAGCTACGCACTACACACTTCCCACTTACACAGCTAATGTGATTTTAGAGTTAGCTGTGTCATTTGCCGATTGGGATGTTCTAGACCATAAACTTTTCCAGGAAGAAGTTTTCCAGATAAACCTCTCATCCTGGAGGCAGAACAAAGCCACTTCTTGTTTTCTGTTCATTTGTTAATTTGTTAGACACAAAGATTACCAGTTCATGTCCCATTAAGCATGAACATTTCATCTGTCCCTGAGCAACTGAGACAAGGTCACTGAACTGCCAGGACACAGATCTGGAAAAAATTGTCAGTTGTAGGAAAAAAATCAAATACCCCTTGTGAATACTGCAAGGAATAGAATACACTGAAGTGGCAGTTTGCTGAAGTGGCTGAATTCTTTCAGTACTTCGTGCCAAATGTGTCATTTCAAAGGTTAAACATGTCGTTTCAATAACAAAAGAAATCTTTATTATGACATTTCAGGAGAACAAAGAAAAGCTATGAAATATAATAATTCTGGAAATAAGAAAAAATACAGTTGCATGAATGTTCAATTCAAAGTGTACACATTGACTGAAAAAGATGCATATTTTCTTCTATAATAAATCAAACAAAATACAAGACATTTACACATATACACATAACACAGGGCATATAACATAAGACAACATTCACTATTTCTCATAAATATGATAGTGACTGCGAACACACGTGCGTGCCCTCACATATTCATTATTCACCAACAGTGTAAACACCTCAATGAAGCAAGCCAGGTATTTCCTCTTAGCATGCCTCCCATACTTCCCAGCACCACAACTAGCACCTGAGCACCGAGATTGACTTCCCAGGGATAACATATCACATTCCCGGAAATCCCAGATTCCTGGAAATCCAGGTGCATAAACACAGCTGTCAGAAACGAAAACACCGAGACTTGATAAAACCTCTGGGATGTGGTCTTTATTATTACAGTATCACTGTGGATGCTGAACATGCCCAGCTGTGTGATCTGTTTTGATTATCATTGCGCTGGTTGAGACCAGTTCTCATCTAACGCAATCAAAGACTCAAGGCCTGTTCAGAGAATTTTCCTCTTTACAACATCTTTTTTCCAAAATATTTTTCTTGAACTCTTTGTAGTTTTTTATAAACAAAACCAATTTTTTTTTACGTGAGCATCTTGATCTAAATCAGAAGGATTTCAACAGGCAAAAAGATTCTGAGAAGAAAACTGGACATTGGCCTGATTTGAAACAGATGACACGGTGCAAGTTGAGATGAAATTATAATAACAGCAATTTCATGAAGTCAGTGAATTAAATGATCTTATGAAAAAATGAGTGAGATGAGGTGAAATCAAAACCAATCAAGGTGATACTATTGGCTGCAGAAACTGCTGCAATGTGAAACAAAGTAGCTGAGGCAATGATTGCGCTAGCTGTGATGTAATCTCACCTACTGCAATCTACTTGTAGTAAGGCACATGGTTTGAATGGGAAATGCAACATAAATACAAGAATGTAGGGTAACATACCTGGCATTGTGGGTTTTAAGGGTTGCTGATCTTTTTCGACTTTTTCAACTTTATTTCTTCGATCTGTAAGCAGGAAAGATCAGCAAATATTTTTGAAGAATTTTGATGTTCATGTGACATGGATAAGACAAAATGACAGCCAAATAACAACAGATTTCAAAGTTTGATAAACAATTTACATGCAAAAGTCACTGCCTAACTTGCTGAAGAAAAAATACAACAAACAGAGGTACAAATAGCTGCACAACATGCTTACCTACTAAAGCTAAGAATTTTGCCAAATATCACTAAATATAACTAACACAATACCAGGTATGCAGGATTAAGATAAGAAATGAAAAATGCAATGAAAAAATGAAGAGCTCCACCAGTTTCAATATCCAAACCTGCTTTTAAGACATGCAGTGAAAGAAAAAGGGTGTGAGTGACAAGAATGAACAAAAAGGTGCTTTAAAAAGTGTCCCATGATGAAAGGATATCTACTTTCTTAACATCTATTACCTATAATACTGTATTAATGTTAGAGAAAATTCCTGTTGACATATTCGCATGTATAAAATTTAAAAAAATTAATTTTTGGTATGTATATCAAAAGAAATTTATGAGTGATAAACATATATAAATAATTAGAAATAACAGGTGTGAAAAAAATAAAATGCAAAATTGTTTCCCAATGACCTTTCAATAAAGAGACAGAAATAATATTAAAAAGCTATTTGGATACAGTAACTATATTACATATAAAACTGGGCCTTAAGGGGAATACAATGACAAGAATAAGATGATTAGAATCTGTTTCATGATGTGTCTGATCAGCAGATCAACCCCCAGCGCTCTTGAAGATAAATAACATCATGCAAGCCACAGTACAACCAAGACAACAAACCCACATCCACATGCACAGAGAAGATCCAGAATTCACAGTCACTAATACAATGGCAAAAATACAATAGTGTCCATAACAGAAATGCCATAAACAATGCACGTTATTTCACATTTAAATTGTCATAAGTATTAGTACACAACATATGCCTCAAAGCATTGTGCACAATTCAGAATTTCTCAATATAGATGGGCAATACGAAAGTGAGAATTTTCTCATCAAACCCAATAACTCATTTACTAACAGCAATCACATGAAATATTTAAAAGGGGAAATCATATAACATTTTCATACATTTCACTCATGTGTTCTGAAAACAAGGGCAAACAACAAACATCACAAATCAGTACATTCAAAACTGCCACAAACATGAAAGGCATTGTCACAGCAGAAGACATGAACTAAGGCTTCATTCACATGCAATGTCTATTTTCTGAATTCTATTTTCTATTTGCGGCATGTCTTATGATCACGGTCTGTGCACTGAATATCCGTAATTACTGGCAGCGCGAGCCAGTTACTTATAGTAACTTATAGTAACTGGCTCGCGCTGCCAGTAATTACGCCGCGGGATATTCAGGGCACAGACCATGATCATAAGACATGCCGCAAATAGAAAATAGAATTTAGAAAATAGACATTGCATGTGAAGGAAGCCTAATAGTTTACTGTCCAAATGACCTTGACTGGTAACAACCAGACCATAACTGTACAGAGGATTTCTGTTGTTTTCAGAGAAGTCAGTTCCAGGAGTTCATATTACATTTAACATACACTATAATATGAGGAGGGTATTCAGGCTCATCCTGGCTCTTCTAACTGATAGCCAAAAATGTATTTTTTTTTTTTTATTTTCAATTCTAATCTAAATCAAACACAAAGCAGCAGTATAAAAATAAAATTGTTTCTTTAGATAAAAATATATAGCTTAGTATTTCTGTGTTCAACAAAATTAATGCATTTATTTGGCTCAGTGGAACCTGCCCACCCTGCCTCCCCCGAGGTTTCTCAGGACATCTGACATCCATCTGGGCTCAATAACTGAAAAGTATCGTGAATTGCAATAGCGATATCACCTTTCATTTCGAGGCTACTATATGGGGGCGAGTAAATGCCGAGTTATTTAACAGAGACTCTTGCACTCTGTAGCAATTTGCGATGCTTTCGAGTTACAGGGCCCTGTGTCCTAGACCCAGTTTACGCCAGCATGAGCCCAGAACACCTGTTGCAAAGATAACGTCAAAAACTCACCATCTTCATCACACTCTAATGGAGACTGTTTCTTCTTCTCTGATAACCTTGGGTCTAGCCAGTGAGTTGTCTCAGTGTTGTGGCTGGAATAAAAGTGATAGCAAATTATCATATATATTACTTATATACTGTGATATCTATATTACTATCTGAACCTTTTGGAATAATGATCACCAAGTTAATGACTGAGAAATTATGAGAAAAAAAATATCAGGCCCGTAGCCAGGGGGAGATCGGGGGGTTCGAAAGAACCGCCCTTTTTTGCTGGGAAAAGGTCCAATCTGGGTAAAATTTGATCTAGGTACATAAAGTTTTTATGGGAAAAGGTCCACTTTTTCAGAAAAAAGAACCCCCCTTTTGAAATTGCTGGCTACGGGCCTGAATATAATGTTCTTTCTATAATTAAAACTTGAACGTGCCAATTAAAACTAAAGATTTCATATCATCCTATAACCTTAGCTACATCATTCTGTAACCAAGGATTTCATACCATGCCATGCCATACCATAACACTCCATAACCCGTACCATGATTCTAAAATCTAAAAACTCGTATCACACCATACCATACCATACCATACCATACCATACCACATCCTTTGACTTCACAATCCCCACTTCATACCATGTAACCTCACTACATATCCCATGATTTTAACAGCACTTTATAACATAAGACCTCATACCACAACATTTATATGCCCAAAACTTAAACTAAACCTTTTCAAAATAAGGTATCAAGGTGGTCATATCTTGGCAGAATGAAGTTCCAGTGTATAAAAATAATAGTTATTTTCTGTCACACCAGAGTGTGTACCTTATAACTGGATAATCTACCTGTCAAAGTCTATCACATGTCTGGAGCTATCATGGCTCTATGATTTCAATGGCCACTATATATATATATAGTAATACAATTGCCTACAGGAGTCCAGTATTCTGATCAATCTATGATACATTTGATCACAGGTTTATCATACCATTAAAAAAAAACATACCAATCTCTCCTACAGCTACAAATTTCAAACATATTTAATATAAATTCAATCTTATATGACATACATGATTACCCTACAGGGCCAAAGACCTGTCAAACCATACCATACCTGTCAAAATCAATCTCGTATCCTGAAAATTCCGAGGTATTAGATCGAAACGACCAGAGCCTGTTATAGTAGCGCCTGCAGGCAGACTGGTGCTCTAGTCTATTCTGGTCCTGAATCCCTGTGATATACATTAGGACCATCGCCGTGGAGACGTCACAGATATCACCATGGTCACCAGACACTAGAATATCACCATGGACACCAGATACTAAGATATCACCATGGTAACCATACACTAGGATAGCCTATAATGTTTCTTCTTGACGGTTGTTTAAATCATGAATCTTGTAAGTTATATGTATATTGACTGATCTGAGAAATAAATGCTAATATATGGTAATTCTTCTTTTTTAAAGCATCAGTAGTAAAACTGATACACTCATCCAAACTCGATACCTCTTGAAGAAAATCCTCCAGTAAAGCAACACAGCGAAGGCCAATCCCTAATTTCTTATGATTATAAATGCACACAATATCAAATGATGAAATATATCCTCCAGTATCACACTATTACTTCTTTTGAGGCCGTTTTTCAAGTAGTGTATTGTGTCGCACAGCTTGCCCGCATAAGTGTTGAAATTTTTTTCCAAGGCACAAATTATTAAGAGCTTATCCTCAAGTTTTACAGAATCAAAAATTGTTCCAAAGAATAACTCGTAAGTAGTTGTACAGCATTTCAATCCTCCTTTTTCTTTGCTGGGAATGTCTGCTGCCAATATCTCACATCTTACCTAGCGCATGCCATAAAACAATTCCAAAAGACCGCCCACGCAACAAATTCAAACTATACCAAAATCTTCACAGAAACATCCCTTCTATGAATTATGTTAAATCCTATGAAAATAGTGACAAGAAATCCTCAGAGTTTCGTAGAAATCTACCAGAAAGCTGGTCTCCTCCCTCCAGTGTCTCAGGGCTCCTAGGTATCAACAAGACCAGTTTGTATGGTTACAAGTCAGGAAAACTCCATGCAGGTATTTCAATGTGTGTTACCCTCCCCTAAATAACAATCCTTAGATCTTATCTCCTGTCAGCGTCAGTCCTAGCCTAAAACAGCCCACAAGATGTCCTAATAAACTCCACACGGACTCCAGTGATAACTTCTCTGTCTTTGAAATTAAACCAGAGCGTCTCCCTTGAAGCGATTAAACCCACTCAAAATCAGGTCATGGTTATCTCCATATGTATAATATATCCGACATGTGCATAGTTGCGCGTCTGAAATGTCTTATTAAAATGCTGGTAGGGTAAGTATGCTGTTAGACCTCAGAGATGTTTTTTTTTACGGACTGTGTAATGGGAACTGTCTCCCGTCACACGAGGCTTGTTCCAGTAATGACTGAGTAGACGTCCCCAGGTGGCAGTTCACACGTACCAAACTTGGAATAAGATCCACTCCTTACAGATACTGATATTGTTCATACGAGTTTATCAGGTTCATAGAAAGATAAAGCAATCAACTACGACTAATTGCAATCTGCCTTTTTCATAATCATTCTAAACTGAGCCAGTATACTCACATGGTGAAAGTAATGTTGATTGTTTTTAGTTACAATGTGGTATCAACACGAGGTAATGGAATCAAACATGACTGATCTCCAGCGAAATATACTGACTTGTGTGAGCCTGGCCCTCATTTCACAAAGAATCCTAGACCCTTAGCTGACCAAGATGTGTGCATGTGTCCATGAGAGTTCTGTAACACTGTTCCTGATAGGGTAAGATGTGTGCATGTGACCATGTAACCTTAGTAACAAAGATGTTAGGCACTGGAACCTAACTTGAGTTGTTTTTTTTTTCAAGAAACTGGGGCCTGGCCATAACCTTGAACCAGAACCTTTATAACACAAACAGTATAAACCAGCCAAAGACCAGTTCTGACCCAATATGAACACCCCCGATGGGACTGTAGCCAGCAAGTGAAGCTATAAAGGTAAGAAGGTCTATTAGTGGTAAACAGGTATGCTAATCCCTCTCATTCTGCCCATTTCTCCTGTCTGTCATCAACCTGACATTTCTCCACCACCACTGTATTTCCCTGCCTATTTGGTTGTTTTCCTGACATATATGATAAAAACTGCTTTAATTTGTCTCATTTAGATAAAGGGTTCACTGTCCAATGGCTGTGGCATGTACTACTGGAGTTAATGACTTTTGAAATATATCTAGGCTTAATAAGTCTGCCCACTGAGATCAGTTCTTGATTTGATTTCCTCATGAAAAAATGCATGTCTATTCAACTTGAATTCATCCAAACACACGCCCCTTGCATACATTACAAACAACTCTATAGCCACCCAGAATACTAGTTCTTCAAAACCAAAAATAACATCCTTTTTCAAAATCAAAAATACCATGATCCTCTTTCAAAACCAAAAAATACCAGCTGCTTTAAAAACCAAAAATGCCATCCTCTTTTTAGAGCCAGAGATACAGTCCTCTCCAAAGGCAGAGACAACTAATTCTTGCCTGTTTAACCTCACCAAAATATTATATATGTAGGCAGGTGTGTGTATAGGTGTGTTATGAAGCCAGAGCACTGACAGCTCTATCAGATGATAGATGACTTCATCAACTAATGGACTATGTAATCTGAGCACAGACACCTGTTCTACAGAACCACCTGAGAAACTGAATACAACTCTCCAGGCTTTTCATATTTGTTATCAATGGTGTTCAAATAATTTAATGGAGTAGGTCTTTTCAAGGTGGGTGATAGTGCCTTTTCCTGTTTACATTCAAAGACAACAATGATACTTTTGTCATGACAGTATAGGGCTTCTTTTTACATAATTTGATATTATTGCTATTGACTCTGCATAAAACATTGAAGTTGATCATACTACATCAAGTTCTTGTTTGTATGTCGCCTAGACTGCTACCAGACTCACCACCCATGTTTAAAAGGTGAAAATTTATGTTCTTTCTTCCTGCTAGTTGCTCCAACTTGTCACACACAACATTTGGGACTTGTACATAACATTTTTCCTGTGAAATCAACATCTTTCCTCCATATATTCTCTATTCAGGTGCATCATTTTATCAATGTCTACACCACACAC